CCCATACACCTTGGTATATCTCTTGGCAATAAGACGTGCCTTATATCTCTCAATTGACCCATCTACATGATACTTGATAGTGCAAATCCACTTGCCCTCAACAGGTTCCTTCCTAGTTGGAAAGTCAACAATATTCCAAGTATATTTTTATGAAGTGTTTTTATTTCAGTCCTCATAGCATCCCTCCACTTTGGTTTGGCTAAGGCATTAGTCACTGACTTTGGGATGGGTTAAGAGGAAATGAAATCTAGAAAGGAATAGTAGGATGGAGACAATAAGGTATAAGAAAGGTGTTTGGAAATGCAATGAGTTGTACATTTCCTCTTACCCTTTCTTAAAGCAATGGGTAGGTCAAGGTTTGGAAACGAGGGTGCTAGTGGTGGAGATCTCAGACCTGCCCTCTCTTTGGTGATTGGAAGCACTTGAGACTCAACTAGAGATGTGGGATCAACCTGTGTTTTCCTTAGCTTTTGCCATTGATACCACCTCTAGACAATAAGATGAGTGGTAAAAACTAGAGGACCAATAGGAGGAGGGGGAGGAGCAGGAATGGAAGACCTCGAAGGAGATGACGTGGAGGTAATTGTGGAGGGCTCAGCACAAGACTCAATTAGAGCTAGCAAAAGTAGGGATGAAGAGAACAATTCAAGAGAACTCTCCCCCTTAGAAGGATGACTATGAAAAAGGACTGACTCTGCAAAGGTGGCATCCATGGAAACAAACCGGGTGCCACTTATGGGATAAAAACAACAATACCCTTTTTGTGTGGAGGCATAACCAAGAAAGATACACTTCTGAGCCTTGGGTTCAAACTTATGTCTCTTGGAACTGGGGTTGTGGAAATAGCAAGTGCAATCAAAGATAGGCAGAGGAATGACGAAAACCTCAACACCAAGAAAGAGAACTCCAAAAGGAGTCTTTAACCCCAAGACTCAGGAAGGCATATGGTTAATAAGATAAGTAGTTGTTAAAACTACTTCACCCCAAAATTTCACAAGAACATGGATAGCAAAACGATTACTCCTTGCAACTTCCACAATATATTTATTTTTCCTCTTTGCTACTCCATTTTGTTTTGGAGTACAGGCACAAGAACTCTAATGAACAACCCCAAATTTTTCAAGGTAGGAGATAAGATCCTTATCAAAGTATTCCTTAGCATTGTCCAATCGGAATATTTTGATGTAGGTATCAAACTGAGTGAGTATATATTTATGGAATTATTGAACACAAATTTAGGCACTTCAGCATGAGAGCGCATAAGGTAAATATAGGCATATTGTGAAATGTCATCGATAAATAGGACGAAATATCTATAGCCAAGGTAAATGGTAAGGCCTCCACACATCAGAGTGAACAATATTAAAAGGAATAGTCAATCTTTTATTACTTGAACAATAAGTATTCTTACAATGCTTTGAGAACTCATAAGACTCACAATGTAGACTCGACTGACTTATTCCTTTAAATAGTTCTGGAAACAAATAGCTCAATGAAGAGAAAGACAAATGACCCAAACGACTATGACATAACATGATACGACTAGTGGACTTTGAAACAAACATAGTTCTCTGAGGTTGTACTTGGCTTTGTTCAGACATGTCTAGATATATCCCATTCGCCTCATGGCCACTTCCAATCACCTACTGTATTTCATGTCCTGAAAAACACAATATGAAGGGAAAATAAGTCATATTGCATTTTAGGGATTTAGTCAAATTACCAAGAGCAAATTGGTATTAAGTTTAGGTACATGAAGAACAGATGATAAGGTCAAGGCATGTAAGACCTTGATGTCTCTCTTTCCCATGATAGAGCAAGGGATATCTTGTCTCGCCAAAAAGGAGTTGGTAAAAGGTGAATAAATGTGAAACATTGGTCATATGGTCAGAGGCACCAGAATCAATTACCCAAGGGAATTTATAAGTACCTGAAATAGTAGCACGATTTGCAGTGGCACAAATACTTGAGTGTGCATACGTAGAGGAAGGAATTTCTCTGATGAAGTAGATGTTGTAGTAGTAGACTCCAAATGATTGATCATTCGGCCATACTTCTCATACTTAGTCCTAAGGACTGAAAGTTGCTCTCTCACTGATTCTCACCACCTTGCCCCTTTTCATTCTATGAGGAGGTGGCTACATTTGCATTTCCACCTTTTCATTCTCAATCCTTTTTCCACTATTTCCATTCTTTAGTCTGGCAAGAATAAGCTCTGGGTATAGCTTTCAACAGGTGTCTTTACTATGTTTAGGCTTCTTGCAGTATTCACAGATAGCATCTTTCTTCCCAGTGTTGACCTTTGGCTTCATCCCGGCATTCGCATAGTGATCAACCTATGGCTCTACAAATTGAACCTATCTTTTGCTCTCCGTACTACTCACCATGGCATAAGCCTGAGACAAAGTCACCTCATCCTCCGCCAAAACATTTTGCCTCACAATATCATACTCTAGGTTGAGTTCGGTGAGGAACTTAAAGACCCAATTTCTTTCCACCAACTTCCTATGTGTGTCTACATCCTTTGTATAACCCCAAACAACAGTCTCCTTAAATCAACCTCCTGCCAAAGAGATTTCAGCATGGAGAAGTAGGCAGCTAAGGTCTTCTCCCCCTTGTCTTAGATTATTCACATCATTCTTCAATTTGTAGGCTTGGGCAACATTCAGCTTTTGGGAATAGGTCTTCGTGACACTATCCCACACTTCCTTTGCAGTTTTGATCCACATTTAATGCTGACTAGTATGTGGTTGCATAGAGTTCACTAACCAATCCACTACTGTGTAGTTTTCCTGCATCCTCCTTTCATATCTGGGGTCATCCTCCGCCCATTTCTTCTTTCTCCCGGTAATGTAACCCCAATTCCCTCTACTACATACATGTATTTTAATTGACCGAGACCAAGCTAAATAATTGGTTCCATCCAGCTTCATAGTGGTTACTGCCCCTAACAGAGTCTCCACTGGCCTCCCATATTCAAACCTGGAATCTGTGGGATATTTGGTTTCTCCTCCAGTTTGCTCCATTGAATGAATAGATGCAAACAAGAATCAAATTAGGGTTTTACTAAACTAGATTTGTTATTCCAAGCAAAGAACTATTCTTCAACCACCCAAAAGGCCAAAACTAGGGTTTCATAGGACCTCATAGAATGGGAGGAGAGAAACTTCAATTGCTCCTTTTAGAGGTTCCAGAACTCTATCCAACACAAACCACCCTTGATAAAAATCAGAGATCTCCCCTTTGATCCCAAAGCACCAGCTTCAAAGTGTCTCTAGGAGACCTGTAGCAAGATTTCTTCAGTTATCTAGGGTTAAAAATCTCCTAGAACCTGCCTTGGGCTTCAACTAAGGATGAAAATCTCCACAAAAACTCTCCAAAAATCTCCCTAACTAAGCTGTAAAAAACACCTGCAATAATTTAGAAAATATAGAAAAGAGAAGAAAAGAAAGAAGGAAAAAAAGTTTCAGTGTAAGCTTGTGAAAGAAGGAAGAAGAAGAGAAGAGTTTGATCCTCTCTCTAGCCCCACCCCCAAGACATCTTTTATTCTCTTAATTCTAAAATGAGTACAATTCCCTGGATGCCCTTAATAGGGAGGCCAGCACTAAAGAGTTAATAAAACAAAACAAGAGGTCCATAACTGAAAGAACATAAACTTAAAGACTTAAAAGAAATAAAAACACTAAGACCCAGTCGGCCCATTCTCACTATGGAGACCTTTAGTTTTTATCTGTCTTTCATCCGTTAGAACAGAATAGAGGCTGCCCCAGATTTTTTTTTCCTCAGAGCTTGAAAGATGGCTTCTATTATTCCTTCTTGTCTGGTTGTATTGAAACTTGAAATAGGGGAACTTTGACAACTATTGTACTATGCTTGGTCAAGATCTGGCCATTTGGGAACCCTCTGACTTGATCCTATCTTTGATGGAATAGATCAGGCAAATTTTCTCAATGCCCAACTTAGATACAGCTTTTGGAACATGAGTGGTTGTTTGACACCATATCACTTGTGCAGACTTCTAATTATGTTGATTCAAGATCTCTACATGAATATTCATCCAATACTCACAATTAAGTGGATGCAGAGTTCTTTCATCAAGAAAAGGGATGAACCATGCAGTGTCTATTGACTCCATTTTCAAGATATTTTATCCTTTTTATTCTTGCAAATTACTAGTTTTCTTAAAGAGATTGCTTGTTGAACAAACTAGGGTTTCTTGCTACACCTTTATTTTTGGGGAGTTTGTTAAACATCCCATTTTTGAAAGCCATGCACACCATGGTAAAAAGAGAAAGAAATATAACAAAAGTCAAAACACGGGATTGTTTTTATCTAATAAAAGTGTCTTTTGACTAATCGTAAGGGGTAGCCTCCCTCATAAAAAGGGATGTGCTAAAATCACTCCCCTCTTTTTTTCCTATGAAAGCCATATACACACTTTCTCATCTTTATTGAAATAATAGGTATTGAAGGCCTTTCACTCTACAATTTAGTTTTTTTTTTTGGTGAATAACAGTAACTGATTTATTAAATTAATAGAGTGTACAGAGGGGCACTCTGCAAATTAGTATGCATCAAGAGAAGGGATTTTCCTCTGTTTTGATGGCAAGGCACTCATCTTTGTTCTTTGGCAACTTGGTTGTATCAATATCATACAGATAACTTGGATTTCAAAACTTAAATCACTTGCCAAAAAGACTGGTCCACTTTTGCAGATTAAAAAATAAACTTTATTTAATTTTTTATTTTTAAGCATGACCTTTTATTGGTGTTAAGATGTTCTTGAAGCAACATTTTTTGCTTTCTCTAGGTGTTCATGTGTTCTGTATTGAATGTAAAAGAAAATGAAACCCCAGAAAAGAAATAACAGAAACTGCATTGCCCACCCAAACCCAGAAAAGAAATATGCAAAGAAGAGAATTTCATGTTGGCTTGCTTGCTTTTGAATCAGACGAGATGGTGTATTGTAGAATTCTCATTGTCGTTTATGGTTGTGACAGGTGCTGCACTTGCGACAGCAACTTAAATTCCTCAGGAGATGCCAAGACAAAGAGGTAATTGATGACCTCAGCACACCTTCAGTCTCTTAGCATTTGTTTATGGTTAAGTTTCTTTACTAACCAATTATCTTCTCTTCATTGAGTACTATTGTTATCATCTATGAGATTGTAATCCATGAACTAGAAACTTTGAGCAAACTAAGTAGATATGATCATGTGAAGAGCATATCACTTTATTTGTTCAAAAGCAAGGCCATGTCTGAAATTTGGCATGGTTCAAAGTGCAAAGTAGTCGTCTTCTATGTATCAGAGGAGTTTGCAATGACCAACAAAACCAGAGTTTACGTCACTTCGCCACCAGGTTCTGGAGTTGAAGCAATGATGAATGTACCCAAGGAAATGGAGAGATTACTGATATCCATTTTTGAACTTGCACATCCCTAGTGAAAAGACAGAACCCACTGTTTGTTATCACAGAAGCCAAAGCATGGGGATGATTTTTTTTTCTTTTTTTCTGGTAAAGCATGGAGACGATTTTGTGTTTAGACATGTACTCTTCGAGTGATATAGGGCTATGCCCCCTTTATAAGAAATCTTAGTGCCCAACATGGAAAAAAGAGAGAACCTTGTATTAAACCTAAAGCTGATCTATTTAAATCAAAGTGTGTGTAATTAGCCATCTTAAAAAGACAAAAACAAGCTTGCGTCCTGATTTTCATCCCATTTAATTTTAGCAAAATCGATTATCCTTTCTATATTCTATTACTAGTGGGGACCCGTGTGATGCATGGGATTTATTAAGCGTAAGCTAAATAATAAAAATGGTCATTTACCAAAATACACATTATAGTTTTATGACTAAAATCTACCCTATTAGTTAGCATTTTACTAAAACACCACTTATAATTTGCAATGGATTTAATCAATCTTCCATTAGATGATAGTGGAAATGACAGTGTTGATCTTAATGTTCATTTAAATAAATTTAATTGAAATAAAATAAAAATAAAAATATCATTTTTGCTCTTAATAAGACAGTGGATATACTTGGTCGATTTTGTTATGTGTTAAGGGTATTTTTTGAATAAAAGTCATGGGTTTAATGGCAAAACAAACACTCCTTAATGAAATGTTGATTAAGTAAATAAGTTGTAAAGTATATGGGTTTTAGTAAAATGAAAACTATAAGGTAGGTCTAAGTAAATGTGAAACCATAAGGTGTGTTCTAGTAAATGACCCTAATAGAAACACATAAGAGTATACAATTGTTTTATATTTTTTAACTTTTTAAATAATTAATAATTATTCATGTTTTATATACCATTTTTAATAATTTTTATAATATAGAAATAACAATAATTAATTTCAATTAGGTTTATTCATTAAACTGATGAAACCAACCAACCCGATCAACTCGACCTGAGTTGGTCGGTTTTCAAGTATTTTAAGTCGACTTTGGTTAAAAAATTTCCCAATTCAACCAAGTTGGATTAGTTTTCACTTTGGTCATTTGTAAACCGACCAAAATCGAATGACTTAACCATAGATATATGTCAATATTTTATATTTTAAATATAATTTTGAATATGAAAAAGTGGGAAATTCCCCATCTTTCTTAGTCTGAAATGTTTTATATCATAAATCTAACTTTTAAATTTATTTTTTAATAATTGCACTATATATATATAGGTTAACCTCGTTTTTTTAGGGAAAATTTCTGATCAGTACCTTATACTTTGGCTTTAGTGACAATTTAGTTCTTGAACTTTAAAATGTGACAATCTAGTACTCGAACTTTCGAAATGTGACAATCTGGTACTTGTCGTTAATAAACTGTCAACCAGGATGTAAACAGGCATAATTACCCATTGCATTTTCAATAACTGATTGGGATGATTTTTCGAAATGATGAAAATGACCTCTATTATATTAACTTTTTTCCTTACGAGTGGGAACCATTGTTCATTGCTCTAATGTTCCAAACAGATCAGTTCTCCCCACGACACTGGAAAATCTGAAATCAACGTGAAAACATAGATGGAGATCATTTGCCGCCATTGCTAGCGCCAGAGAAGACGAACGCTAGTTGCTATCGTCGGAGAAGACAAACAAGCTTTTTTTTTTTTTTGCTATTTTGTTTCTATCATTTTTCTATGTAACTAATTACTGGGGTGATGGTTGACAGAGGATGGTCACTGGTCACTGGTCAAGCATTGACCATCCTCCATCAATCATTCGGCATCCTTAGGGATAATCGGCCAGTGAGTCTTGAATTGGACCATTTAGAAGTTCTTTCTTTCCATGAATCTGATATACTTCAGATAATTCTTTCCCTTTGCACTAGCCACCTGGGAAAAAAAAAAGAAGCAAGCAAACTTTGCACATGCGTAGGAGATCCAACTACAACCAAACAATGAAAAGATCCATTCCTAAATACAATTTGCAAAATGACAAGAGATTTATGAGTGATAGCCATTCTCACCATTAGCTTTGCACAGAATACACCAATTAGGAGACCAAACCCCGAGACCAAATTTGAATGGAATGGCAATAGGCTCATCTTTAAGTTAGATAAGGCAAATAAAGTAGGAAATTAGTCCTTCAAAGGGGAGTCTCCAATCCAAACTTGTTCCCAAAATTTAATGAGGTTAAGAAAGTGCGAATCATACCTGATCCAAGGCAGGATAGCTTGAATGGCTTTCCAAGGTGAAGTTTTTGTAGTCCTAACCAAAATTCCAACATCCCAACCATTATCCGCAAGCCCATGAATACTTTTTACCATAGTTTTCAAGGTGGCAAGGCGAGACTAAGTGACCATGGGGTGCCTAGGCGCCTAGCCTTCGCCTAGGCGGTCGAATTTAAAAATAATAAGCCAATGGATTTTTTCCCCTTCTGAACTACTTTTTTTGGTTTTATGCTTCTACACTTGCTTTTGTGCTTGTGTTTCTTGGAGTGTTGCTTTAAGTAGGCAAAACAAAAAATATTAGAATTACAACTTACAATTTAAACTTAAAAAGAATTGATGGGGTTTGTAGCCCCTATTTTAGCCAAGAAAGGAAAAGAACCTACGAAGAAGAAGGGGGCGGAGCCCTTGTTCTAAACCTAGAAAAGCTAGTGAACAAATATTAAAATGAAAGAAGAATATGAAGAAGAAAAGTATGGGGCGGACCCCTGTTCTAAACCCAAAAAAGTTGGTGAATAAATATTAAAATAAAAGAATAAATATGAAGAAGAAAAGAAGGGGTGGAGCCTCTATTTCAGACACCAATGATGAGAAAAAAAAGTTGGAGATGCAAGAAATTTAAGAAAAGGAGAAGTTTTAGATCAAGAAAAATCGAAGTAACAAATACTAAAATAAAAGAAGAAAATGAAGAAGAAAAGTGGGGCAGAGCCCCTATTCTACCCCTATTTTTGACACCAATAATGGGAAAAAATCTGAAAATGCAAGAATTTTAAGAACAAAAAAAGGGGGCAAAGCCCCTATCTTAGTCTAATAAAATGATTCAAAAAGCTTGGGGAAAAGATACAAAAAGGAAGAGGATAAAAATGGGGTGTAACCACTATTTTAGACCAACAAAAAGAAAGGAAATAAAGAACAAAACGAAGAAGAAGAAGAAGAAGAAGAAGAAGAAGAAGAAGAAAACGATTAACTCACCTTCACTTAGAGGACTATGTGGAAATTGAGTGTTGTTGTTCTATCCTCTTCCTCAATTCGATTCTTTTGCCAAAGTAAAACTCAAAGATTAAGTTTTTTATGCTTAATTGCCTTAACAACTATGCTCTTTACAATCTTATCCCATAACTTTTTCTTCTCTAGAGAAAATCTCCATAACCACTTCTCCAGTAGAGCCAAATTCATCTTCTAAATATTTCCAAGTCCAAGACCTCTAGGCTTGTTTCTACAAACCAACTCCCATTTCACCCTATGGGTGTGTTTCTCTTCCCTAACTCCCAAAGAAAATCCCTTATTAACTTCTCCAATCTTCTTCCCACCCATTCTGGAATCTTAGAAATTAACAAAAAATAGACAAGCATGTTAACTAAAGTGGATTTGATCAAAGTAACTCTTCCCCTAAAGGATAAATAATTCATCTTCTAAGATGCAAGTTTCTTTTCAAACCTTTTCACAACCGGATTTCAAAAATTTCCTTTCCTTGGGTTATCTCCTAGGTGCAATCCTAAGTAAATCAAAAGCCGCCAATTGGACATTGCAAACCCCAAAATAACTATATATTCAGTTACCTCATTGACTATACATTTTTTCTCAACATTCACCTTCAAATTAGATAACTATTCAAAAAGTTGTATAGTATGTAGGGACGGTTCTAGGGGGGGACCCAAGGGAGCCATGGCCCCCATATGGTCCAGAAATCTACACATTAAATACATTTTTCTATGTAAGTTTCCTCCCTCCCCTCACTTCTCACCATATGGCCCATCTATAAGTTTTGGACCCCCTCATAAAAAATTCATGGCTCCGCCCTTGATAGTAAGCTTCAAGTTCCTAATCCAACTCAAATCCCCCATTCACAGAAGAGTATCATGTCATATGCAAATTGCAAGTGAGTAATTGGAACCCCTTCCCTACCCACTCTCCAACCTCTTACTAAAATCATTGAGTCTTTCCTTGAGATCAATCTACCTAAAACATTAGCCACCAAGGTAAACAAAAAAGGAGAGAGGGGGTCTCCTTACCTGATACCCCTCAAGGCTGAAAAGAAATCCGCTAGTCCCATTAACCAACACAAAATAATGACAATGTCTAATACACCCTATCACCCACTTGCACCACCTATCTCCAGACCTGAAGCTCATCAACACCTTAACCAAGAAAGACCAACCCACCAAGTCATAAGTTTTCTCTAGATCAGGATTATAAACCACTCGTTTTCTTTCATGACTTCTTAAAATCCTCTAAACTTTCATTGGCTATTAAGATTTGACCAACAATTTGTCTTCTTGTTGTGGACATCCCAATTAGTTTGAAGCTCACTCCATGGCTGAAATGTATGGACCCACCACCCACCTAGAATAGAAACATGGGAGTGATGAGCCTCCCATGTTCAAGAAAGCAAACATGACTCTTATATGCGCAAAATAAAGTTATTGTAGGTACCTTTTAGGGGAAAGAGGGAAGGTGTTAGGCACCCCACTCCCATACTCAATATGTAGTACCAATTCCCCTAAAAATAAAACAAGGAGAAAAATTAAAACAACCAAAGACTTTTACTCACTCTATGATGAAATTTTCTCATATCAAAAGAATGATGAATACATTGAACATTCCAATCCTCTAAAACCATTTCAAAGAGTTCATTGGACCAAAGAAAGATTGAGGTCTCCTCCCTACTCTTTTTTAGGCAATAAATCTTCTACAAGGGTTAGCTCCTTTTGAACATTCTCGGATAGAAGCAAGGTGGTGAAGAGATCTCCTCTCAACCCCTTTTTATCCGCTCCTAGACTTTCTACTAGTGAGTAAAGTGAATTAGATATGAAAGGAACTCACTACCATCATGAGAAGACTTTACACAATTGACTCCACAAAAAAGATAAAGAAGCAAACACATAAATAGAAAGAAACATACTATGCCAAAACCAAAATCAAATGTACTCCTACACTTTTCTGTGCAACTAAGACATGCTAAGAAGATGGTAAATGAAACTAAATTGGCCTAGCATAATTCTAACACCTAGACAAGTGATTCCAATATATGTTACACAATTTGAGCATGATAATGATCTAAATTAGATTAAAGAGACATTGATGAAGACATACAATATTCATTTGATTCTTCTAGTAAGTTATTCCACATATTCCCTACACATAAGCATAATGAAATTGATTTCAAAAGAAGACATACACCATCCAGCAATGAGATAATTTAATGCTGAAAATAAAGGACTGCCTAAAACACTAATGAGATTCAAGGAAATAAAAGTAATCTTTGTGGCCTTTGAGCAAATGTGTTGAGGGCAATGACAAAAATTGTTAGAGAAGATGGTGCTGAAATGTTCTCAGTTCTCTTTGAGTGAGGTCTTATTTGAATCAACTAGGCAAGGGAGCAAGCTCGAATTCCCCTTGTTTATTGATTATTCCCAATCTTCTTTTTTGTATTCTTCCTTGGACTGATTTGATCCTAGGGTTCCTGGGTCGGATTTCTTCATTTTTCCTTCCCTTTTCTTCTTCTTCTTTTTCTCTCTTGGTCGAACTCTACCAAGGCTTGTCTTCTTTCTTTTTGGTTTGATTTACATGGTTGAATGGGGTACGTCTCTAGGGTTTGGGTTCAGATTTATTTGAAGGGAAGAGAAGAAAGAAGATGAAGGGCTTGGGGGTTCTGTTATGATGGAAGGCTAATGGAGAGAAAGAAGGTGGTGTTTGGAGGGAAAGATGGAGGCTAGAGGGATTCAATCATGGTGTTTTATGGGAGGAGAGAGGAAGGAGATGAGAGTCTGAGAGTGGGGTTTGGTTCGGTGTTGGAGAGATGAGTTTCATGAGAGAGAGAGAGAGAAAGATTTACCTTGGTCGAAAAATGGTGAAGGAGCTTGCTCCATTACCCTTTCTTTTTTCTTCTTCCTCCCTTTTTGCTTTCTTCTCCACCCTTCTTGTTTTCTTCTTCCCATGGCCGATCTCTCTTAGGGTTTTCTTCTTTTCTTTTTGTCCTTTTTTGGAAGAAAATAGTGGATGGAGAGAAAGTAGATGGAGGAAGGTTGATGGGATGGAGGTTTGGTTCAGGTCATGGTGAGAAGTTTCATGGAGGGTAGAGGGAGGTTGACGAAGATAATGGGAAAGATGGAGAGAGCTTGGTTCGCTGGTGGGAGGTGAGTGTGAGAGAAGGTGTGTGCATGAATTAGTGTTCAGTTGGGTTGGTTTAGTTCTAGGTTTTTGTTGACATAATTTAGTTATTTGTGTTAGGGTCTGTTTGGCTAGTTAAAGCATTTTTTATTTCTGTTATGTCTGTTATTGTACTCACTTACAACAGGGGCACAAGAGTCTTTTCCCTTCTTAATATAATAAAGTCTGGCGCCGCCAGCACTGTTCTATTGCTCCAAACTTTTTTCTTCTTCTTTTCTTCCTTCTCCTTTCTCTTTTCTTTCCTTCTCTTCTCTACTTTCTCATATTTCAATCAGATTTATTGTCAAGATGGTATCAGAGCAAGGCTGTTGAATCTGGGCAACCAAGTTTTCTCTCTTCAAGTTGCTGAATCTGGGTGGAACAGAGGACTGAATCTGGGCTAATCAAATCAAATCAGCAACTGGTACAACCCTAAAGTTTTCTTTCTTCCTTTATTTCTTTCTTTGGTC